GGGGGGGGGTGAGGAGCCCACTTACCTATTTTCTAGGGAAAGCATGTGTTTTTCTTTTCGATTTTAATAAATGTCATGTGATTTGCAGAAAAGCCAGTTTACTTTAAATACAGAGTAGTGATTTAGATTTACCTCAGCAGTTTTTGTTCAGTCAGGCTCTATAAAAATCTGCACAGATTTTACATTGATTTTATATACAAAATGAAAAACAAAACTAAGAAATAAAATAATTTTTTCTAATATTTATGTTTTGCCAAGAAGCTTAGAAATACTCCTCGTATGTATATGGTCCCACCTAGATAAAACAGTTGTTGTTGATAAGTGCCGTTGAATCCGTTTGTATTCATAGTGAGTCTGTATAGGGTTTCCAGTGAGTGACTGGTGAGTTTGAACTGCCATTAGTTAGCCTTGTTGAAATTGTTTCTCATGTGCCTAAAGGAAAATATGCTTCACTGGATCACAGATGGGGTGTAAATAAAACATACATACAATATCTAAATGACCAGTCCTTGCCTAGGACCTGTTTGAATTGCTTGTTTATGTTTAAACACATTTTGCTTCAAGCCAAGGAACAAAGTCATTTTACTCTGAGGTTTGTCCTCTAAATTCAGTAATGAAATCATTTCTAAAGTCTGTGTTTGCACATTTGAAGAGTAAATCTGCAATTTTCTGCAGACTCCTTGCTTTGAAGTGTGTTTCTGCGCCACAACTTGGTAAGTTTTTATGGGACACCAGGACATCAACACTGACTCTGCCCAAGAACCCATCGAGGGGTGCTCCTTTTAGGATGCTATTTGGGCACTGGGTGAATGAATTCTCATGGAACCAACCTGATACCTAAATATGTCACTATCGACAGTCTGTGAAAATAAAGCCCAATTCTTCTTTACTGAGGAACCAATACCCTTTAAATAGCTGCTTTATGCATTTGGACAAATTGGAGAAAATTTACTTTCAAGATAACACATAGTTGTTACTTTGCTGCGTTCCCAGAAGGTTCACTCAGGTGGTGTTTAAAATAGGTGCACTCTTTGAGCTAGCAGCAGACTTGGGTTTTTTTGTTTCTTTAGCAAGCTAGCCTCTGAACTTGACTTTCTTATCTGTATAATGGCGATAAGGAGACTTCGACTGCCTTTTTCAAAGGATAGTGTAAGAATGAATTGAGAGCATGAGTGCAAAACAAAACAAAATCTTTGCAAAATTACTTAGGTTTGAAAGCTGTATAAATAAAACAAGGATCCAAAACCAAACCAATATAGTGACCCAATAGGACAGGGTGGAACTGCCCCACGGGCATTACCGGCCAGTTCTCCATAGAAGCACCTGGTAACACTAATACTTCCTTCTGTGGAGCTGCTGGAGAGTTCTAACCAAAGTCCTTTCAGTAAGCAACCAAGTGCTTAACCACTGTGCCTTCAACAGACCTCCTTCAACAGACGGATCACTCTTCCCTTAAACCTAACACCTCTCCAGTTCTCTTCTTTCTCTTCGTATCTGTGGCAAACCTGTGCATGGTCATTGCATTTGAACAGTATTTAACTGGTTTAGGAGAGTAGCCAGAGAAATACGTAACTAACCCACCCACCCTACTTAATTTAGAATCTTTGTGGTTCTTTGTTCCATAGTTTTTATGATTGCTTGGTAGTGTCATTTCAGTTTTGAATTCTTACTGAATTTTTTCTTGTTGCTCTATCACTTTCTGAGAGACATATTCTCCAACTGTGATGGTGAATTTGTATGTTTCTCCCTTTATTTCTGTCTGGTTTTACGTTGTGAGTCTTGGAGCCTGTTTGCTAGGCCCATGTAAACGTATAATGTGTACGTCTTTCTGATGAAGTAACATCTTTATCATGAAGTCTCCTGCGTTATTACCAGCAGTACTACCCCTTTATTTCAGGTCCATTTGTCTGATATTTTTCTAGCTTTTCTACTGTGTATATGCTTATCATTTGCATGGTATGCCTATTTC